TCAAGATTAATAGTTGCATAACAATCTGTAGAAACTAAACTTCATCTGAATTTAAAACTGTAAACTGTTTTGTTTTTTTCCCTAAAGTAAATTGGTCAGATATGAAAAAAAAGCAATATAAAGCATTCTAACTTTTTATTTGAGCACAGACAACATGTTGGCTAATTTGTATTGATTTTACCTGCTAATTTAGATGCATTCATGATTTTAAAAGCAGATTCCTGTAATTTGCTTTTCTATAAAATGTCACCAATGCATTAAATACTTTGAAAACAGTCTTTGTAAATCAATCCACACTTATTAGATTTATTTAAGCGATAACATTAGAATTTCATGCTGAGATTTAATTTGGTTTTAAAATAACTCCCTACATGCAGAACATTTCCAAGGGTGGAGAGGCTAGTTCCCAATTATTTTCATGCCGTCTGTGCCAAATGTGTTTAAATGACTGACTTACCTACAAGCTGTGGGTTGTCTGGAAACTTCTCTGTTTGGTGGGGTGCACACATTTTTACCCATGGCAACATTATAGAGACAAGAAAAAAAGGAAAAATGCAGAATCAAAGCTGAATGAAAAGTAAACAGTCTTACCTTGTTGGTGTCAAAGGTGTTATAAACTTGATCAACATGTTCATTGGCCTTTTGATTCAGACCTTGCAGACCCAAAAGTGCCTTAAATTCATGCAGCGTTTGCAGGCCAGATGGATACTCCATCATAAATGCTCTGTACCACACATAGGGGTCTTGTGCAAGAATTCCTGTCTGATCACCAGCTATGGATTCCTCATTCCCCATGGTGATTCGAAATCTGCGGCCTTTTTCTCAGGTTGTTTTCACGTAAGTTCTCTCTTCATTCAGTCTCTCGCTCTTCACTACTGACATATGCTCTTGGAAACTGACATATGCTCTTGGAAAGCTACTCTAAACCTCTTACTAGCTTCAGGCTAAATAAGAACAGAAAGCCAGTGAGATTAACTTATCTGTACAGTTTTAAGACTGAGGTCACTCACCTCTGATGGTATAAGCTTACAGCATCCCAGAGGATTTTTCTATAAAGGACAGGGGCGATTTTTTTTTTTTTTTAGTGAGTGCAATCTTTGTCATCTTGTTGGTCATCCACTCTGCCTACATTGTCAACTAGCACAGTGAGTCCAGTTGAAGGAACTTTTCAGGTGTTTTGAAACAGTAACTTTTCATTGCTATTTTACAGAWGTGGAAACTGAGACTTGTGAATCTAAGGAATATTTCAGTGGATTAGGGGAGGTGGAACAAAGTCCAGCATAGGTTCTTGACATTGTCCCATAACTTACTAACTTCATTGAAATATTATCTTCTCAAGTATCGTTCATCAATCTAAAATTGTAATATGAGTATCTGTCTATTTGTGCCTGATAGTCTAAACATAAATTTAGATGAAGAACATTTTTCTYAAGGGAAAATTTTATGTTTGGAGTATTGTTAAATTAAAAGGAAGTCTACGTATAAGAAAGAAATCATGGCTAGAGAAAACCAGATGATTGGTGGTAAGTCAAGGTGTGTGGATGGAGTCTGGTCTGAAGATAAAAGAACACACGTGGCTGTGTCTTCTGGCTTCCTTATTTTTTGTTTTTGTTTTTCTCTTTGTWCCTCTTTTTTGTCTCTTAAGTCTGTATCTTTGTATGCTTTCTTCCTGCTAGTTTTGTCTCACTTCAGTTCCCAAGCTAATCTAATCTTGTCCTGGCCAAGTCCTAATTGCAAAATGGACTTGAGAACAAAGTCAAAGAACCTAAGAGTGTATCCACSGTCCAGTAACGGAAACAAAGCACCTCAAGTGGTCCTTAAGCATCTCGCTATCAATCATATGCAGGATCAGATTCCCAGRTAGAATGTAATTCTGTTAATCCTGAATTCTGGTTACCACCTCCTAACCATAGATGGATCTCTGCCTTAGTCCTAGACTAATTATCTATTTAATAAATCCCCAGTTCCCCAAGAACTGGAACTATTAGACCTGAAATAAACTGTCTTGATAGGAAGTGGGAGTGGTTAAAGTGAATATGATTAATTCTGTTTCAAACATATCAGTGCAGACTTTCCGTAGAACATTTTCTACTTCACAACTAGAGTTAAATAATAGGTGGACGACTGAGSCATAGTAATTTGTAACTCATTCAGGTGGAAGTTTTACTTGAAACCATTACAGGAGATGAGGTTTCTTACGTGGAGTCAAAAGAAGATGAGACAGGGATGACTGAGCCCTGTGGATGATCCAGGTAGGAACTATGCTGAATATTCTGTCAGCATTCTCCTGGGGTGTTCTTCGTCAGATTCCTTACATGTCTGCCAAAAGRATGCCCAGAAGACTGGCTTCTTATCACCATTACCTTCTATTCATCACCTGTTTTTACACTGAAGGAAAAATGGATACCGATGATGGCAGAAGAAGAACAAGAACATCCCTTGTGGAAGAAAAACTTTAGATAATACAAGAATCCAAGGACTTGAAACACAAAAGCTGTGTTTCTTCACATAAATTACACATATTAAAGTGTATATAAAGATGAGTTGCTGGTGCAAAATAAAGTTTTAAACTATCTCTACTATGAGATTTCTTACATTGAATACAATATCTGTTTCCAAAAATCAGGAATTGTTTGGTATAAAACWTTAACAAGTCATAAGGAAGTGGGGAAATATCTTCATTTATAATATATCAAAGAATAATTCAAATAATTACAATAAATATAACTATAAATGTGAAAAATGCTTGAAGAAAAATGTAAACTGGTACTCTAGGACACCAAGTCTTGAACATATAGAAAGGTATATTTTGATACTGAATTTAGAAAAGCTTCATTTAAAAAAAAAAGTAAGTCTATTCTCTATATATTATTCTATGCTACAACCACAAACTCAAGAAAATGCAAATAAAACTTAGGGGGTAGTAGCTATTGGAAAAGTTAATTCTAAGGTTTTTTWAAATTTTTTTCTTTAGTTGTATATGGACATGATATCTTTATTTATTCATTTTTATTTTTATGTGGTGCTGAGGATCAAACCTAGTCCTCACAYATGTGAGGCAAGCACTCTACCATTGAGTTACAGCCTTAGCCCAATTCTAAGCTTTAATGAGAATTTAACAGGTAAGTATACACAAGAAATTATAAAAAATAAAATTATTAAATATCCTTACCAAAACAACATGGGTCTGGCATGAAAAAATACTGAGCAATCACTGAAAAAGCAGAGGGACTTTTTGTTTTTTTGTTTTGTTTAAAATACAAAGAGTAATCTAACATACAAAGATAGCATTGGATACAATAAGGATTGATTATCCACATGATAATTCTAGGACAATGCTGTGGCTATGTGGAAACATATATACACACATACACAAACAAAATGGGATATCTGTTGGGGAAATAGCCCAGTGGTAAAGTGATTGCCTAGCATGCTTGAGGCCTTGGGTTCAATCCCCAGAGTAAGGAAGGAAGGAAGGGAGGGAGGGAGGGAGGGAGGAAATAAAGCTTTCTTTATTTCTAACCTACATTAAAACAACAAAGACATATCACGGTTAACCTATCTGATAAGCAAGATAAGAGTGTGACAATTCACTGGGTAGCCAAAGGTATGAAGAAATAGGTATTCATACATTACAGAGGAGGGTATTTTAATGTAATTTTTATGCAGTATTGTTAGGCAATGTCTACTGTCATAGCATCTATATATCGTTCACTCTGTAATATAATTTGTTAGGTTTGACAGAAAAAATTGCAAATTTTGTGAATTACAAGGATATTCACTATTACAAGGATACTCATGATTATATGCATGCAAATCCAAAAGGACAAAAAATTAATAAATATCTATTGATAAGGGAATGGTTAAGTATATTTGGGAATTTCTACAGAATGGAATTAGGAGGACTAGTTAAAAGTAACAAAATATGATCTCATTACCTCTTAGTACATTATATATTATTACATATATCCATCTTGATTTGAAAAGTTCTTGATGATATTCAGAGAGAGACAATGCAACATCATCTTTTGGATGCAATTACATCATATTTTCAGTTATATATTGGTCAACATGGTTTTACATACATTGAGTGTTTGGGAGTGGATTCACAAGTGATTGGTGAATATAGAATTAATATAACTAATATAGAATATAGAAATTCAATAAGAATATAGAATTTCTAATATAGAATTTCAATAAGAAAACTAGTAAGAGCATGCTTCCTGGGAGGAATAATTAAGGGGCTAAGGACACAAATGAATGAAGAATTTTCATAATATCATATTGAACACATTCCACATTTTGTACTATGTGCATTATGTAAATTAAGATAGTACAATTCCACAAATGAGTCTTAATGCTTTTATTGGTTTTGTTCAAAGCTGAAGACATTTCTGAACAAACAAAGTAATCAGTTATTAAGGAAAGTGTTAAAACAGTTCCTTACATGCGTCTAAATATAAAAATACAATTCTTAACATCTGTTATATATATGTTCTGCTTAAGAGATTTATCATTTAAGAGATTTATTATTTAATTATAATTAAATTGTAAAAAATCATATAAACTTTAACTCAAAGGTGTTTTGGAGGATTTATACTTTCTGCTTTCCTGAGGATTGGCTGCAGTGGAGAAAAGGTACAATGTCTTTCAACACACATTTCAAGAGAACAAGATTCTACAGTCCTTTGTATACTGATTTTGAAATCCACTGTTTTCGAGCTTTTACAATTATCTTAGTATTAAGTGACATTTTCATATGTCTTAGTAGCTTGCATGAAGATTAGAGAACTCTAAAAATTATTTCCAAGAGAACAAGAAAAAATAAGAAATTGGATTGGCAAATTTATAAATTGCAAATCAGTCTCCATCTCTAAAGTATACAATTTTTTAAAGTTAGAAGGTAAAATAATTTACAATAACATTAAAGAAAGGAATTTTTAAAAAATCTTCCAATTTTCTGATTAGCATTTTTTGAAAGGGAATACCTTTTCTGACTTTTAGTTTTGAGAAGTGCTTCCATTGCTCTCTAAAGGGAGACCATGCCCTGCGACACTTTGTTGAAGGGGTCTAGAAAGGAGATCATCTTCTTTCAGCAAAGCTTCTAAATAAACGTCAATCTGCTCCAGGTCTTCTGCTGGACCACCCTGGAAGAGAGAAGCGATACTCACACCAGGGAAAGCAGCTAAGAGTTTACTCACGTTTCCTGGGCAGACTCCTGACAGTCTTCTCTAAGATTCATGGAGCAACAGAACCTGTCCTGTGTTTGAATAATGCTTTTAACCTTTTCCAAATGTTTTCTCGTTTAATCTCATTTTATGCTCACAAGGGGCTAGGAATTCATATCATATTTTCTTCTTTACTGGAGTTTAGTTCCACTGACATTTTCCTCCTTTTTAAAAATTACTTGTCATATCACTTGCCCCTCCCCACCCCCCCTGTCATCCTTCTCTGTTTTAGGCTCTCGTCTCCTATTTTAAAAAATTCATGAATCAAAAAAAAAAAAGAATCAAAAAAAAAATTCATGAATCTTCAGCCTTTTAGGCCAAACCAGACAGATAAAAATTTGGCTTCTGTTTCTCCTCTTCCTACTATAGCCTCTTTTCTCCCAGCCTCTGCCTTGCTGCCCTGCTCTGTCTCTCTATCCTTCCTTTCCCACTCCCCCTCAGCTCCACCTCGGTGTAATTTCACAGTCTCCTTCCCTGGGCTTCTGGATCCCTGGACAGATCCATGGGATATGCTAAATCTCTCTCCTTCAGGCCCAACCAGGGAGTCGACTATCTCTCCAACTAAGCATATGGATGAGGAGACTGTTAAGATGGACCTTCCAAAAGCTATCCCAGTTTTACTACTGTCCCACCAAGTGTCCAACTCCTTCATCTTCATCTCCTCTTCCCTTTCCTCAGCCTTTAAATATGCTTCAGCTTTATTCCTTCTGCTCTAGATTAGCTCAGTTTTCTAACAAGGGTTCCAGTTTTATGACTGGGGTCCTGTTCCTGCAAAAGGGTTTCAATGACATTGATATTTACCTAAGTTTCCATATATAATAACCACAAAGAGTTCCCTGTGGCTCTTGCTAACACAGCCAGGACTTACCTGTTAGGTATAGTCTAATCCTTTGGCTATTAGTCTCTGTCTGGCAGATGAAACTTCCTCTTAGGACCTTACGTGGATTTTACACTCCGTTTCTTGTGTGTCTGCCCTACTCTTATCTGCTTCAGGCCCATCACAACTCAGTTCTCTGTTTTATTTTACCACAGTTGCTCCAGCAGTCAGAAAAGTAATGATGGAAACTTCAAGTGGTGAAATGAGAGTAATTATATTTGAGTCAGAACTCTTTGGGTATCTTTTCACTGATACTAGGTAAACGATTTCTATTCTGCTGGCTAAAGTCCCTCACATCCCTACTAAACTTTGTTTATAAAGTGAATAAAGCAAATTTAACTAATATAATTATCTTGGCTAGTCTGGGAAAACTGGCCAAGGTAATTAGCCAAGGGGTTTGGTATTGAAGATAATTTTTTAAAAAGTTAATAAATTATTATTCTTTCATTTTTTTTTTCTCTAGCCAAACAGATTTTCTATGCTGAGAACCAAAAATTTTTAAGTTTTTTTTTGATTCTCATTAAGTGGTATTCAATTTCTATGATACAGAATTTCTCTGTTCTTTCAAGCGTTCACTGTTATTAAAACCAAAATTGTCACTGAAACGCTACCATGCCTAGGTTCCATTCCAATCTTTTTATTTATAAAATCATTTACACGGAAAAGCATTTACGGCCACAAGACCACAAGGAGCTCTGCTAAATCCCACTCTCACAACAATAATGAACTTGAAGAACTGGCTGAAGTGGTGATGTTGATAGAAGCATGAATACTGTTACCATAATGTAGACACAGCATTAATCATTCATTTTTATTTTAATAGTATAGCATTTTAATTGTGCCTATATTACTGAAGGGGAGTAACTTCTCTTTCAGCAATTTACCAAATATTAAGCAGAAACATTTTCTGCATTTCATTTCTACGTAATATAAGAGAAACTTCATGTAAACTAAAAGATGTATATGTTTTAAAGGGAAAATAAACTTTCACCTTGAAATGTTCACAGCTAGGACTGAAACCCAGGCAGTTGGGCTTGAAAGTCCCATTTTATACCAGTGTGTGGCCAGTCTCCTAGTCTCTCCACTATCTAATTCATGGGCAAGGTCATCCCCATCCATGTTTGGGGGCTGGGGAAATAGCTCAGTTGGTAGAGTGTTTGCCTCATATGCACAAGGCCCTGGATTCAATCCTCAGCACCACAAAAATAAATGAGAGACAGACAGAGAGAGGTTGGCAGGCAACACTGCTCATGTTTGGCTTTATATGTGGGCTCAGCTGTGAAGTGTATGTGCTTCATTCACCAGGACCATCCTCCAGGCTTTCTGTAGGGGACACAGTTCTCTTATGCAGTTCTCTCCTGGGAGGATTCTGTCTCCTGTCCCGGCCCTCAGGGCCTGTATCTGAGGATAAAATATTATGGGCTCCCTAAACTCCACTGTCCTGGCTTGCATTTTTTCAATTTATTTCTAGAACCTATAGAAATACTTCTCAACCTTGCCTAATACGTTTTAATTTTTACTGCATTTCTATGTGCTGGCACAGAAATTGAGCTCTTCCTCATTAGTTCAATCTATCATAGAAACTCAATTCTTTATGCATTAAAATATACAAAGATACAAAGTCATCTGACAGTAATTCACACTTCCATGATGTTTGCTGGCCTCTCCAACCTCTCCTCTAAGATTAGGAGGGTTTTTTTAATTTCTGTATGAAGATAAAAATAAAATATCTTTCTTCCTGACCAAGTTGGGAAAAAATTCTTAATAGATACATGCTATTGAGGAGACTCAAAAGTGATTGATCATTGTCTTTTACCAATAGAATGGCATTAATTGCTCTTATTACCACTATAAGAGAACAATTTAAAAAATCTGTTTTTTTTTCATTGTTATACAGAATACATATATGATGTTGTAATGAGAAAAAGAAAAAAAAGTGTGTCACATTAGATTGGATAGAGAGAAAGGATGGGAGAGGAGGGAAAGACTAGGGAGGTTAGGAAGGGCAGCAGAATAGAATAGACAATATGACTGATGTATGTACATTCCATGTATGTATTATATGTCAAAATACATTCTGCTGTCATGTATGACTAAAAAAAAATAAAAATAAATCRTATGGTTAAAAAAATTCTGTTTTTTTAAGAGAAAAAAGAATGAAATTTTATAAATATTCTTATATATTTTTTCAAAATTCATTTATTGATGATTTTGATATTCTTTAAGTGGCAGCAAGGATGGGGTTAGGTGACTTGTCCCAGGTCAGTAAGCAAATGATGATGTTAGGAGGGGAGTCTAGCCACAGAGCATATTCCTATTACTCATATACAATGTAGTCACTCACCAGCTGAAGTGTTTGCAACAACATTGCCAGTTTTACACGAAGATTCTTCAGTTTATCCTCAGTAGTTTTTCTTTTTTGTTCACAGTGTCCCAGAGATATTTCATTAAGAATTCCTCTTCTATTTGCATCATGGATGATGCACTGCATTTTTCTTTTTATTTTCTTTTCATATTGGACCATGTAAACATTCTGGATCTGGGAACATTTTTAAAACAGTCTTAGTATATTTTTAAAATATTACTATTCCCCCTAATAAATGAGGTGATTTCATATTCCAACTGCACACATGTACCAAGCATCAACCCTGCATCTAAGTTTGACAGGTGGTCCAAACTGAGGACACCCTTAAGGAACTAACTCTCTGATGGGAAAGGGAGAGAGAGGAGGTAATATGTACCATATTCCTATAATTATAAGGACTGGAGAGGCACACCAAGGTAGACTCAGAGACCCTTGCTTTGAAATGAAGAACTCCATGAATGTGAATTTCTTCTCCCATTAGCAATGTAAAATCATTCAATGCACAAAGGGGGAAGGTTCCTGTGGCCCACTCTCCACAGCACCAGCAGCTCATGGACAATGACAGATGGCCAATGCTAGGGCCACCTTAAAGATGATATGTTATTTGTGACTCAAGTGTAGTAACTGTAAAGCACAGAAGCTACAGAATGAGGAATTTTGTTTCCTCACTCTGTGTACGTTCTTTATCCTACTGTGAAGAGTATAGACTGTTAACCATCCACCTCTTGCTAATTCAGGGGCCTTGGCTGTTTTCCAAGATGGCATGTTGTGCTTGGGGATCTCATGAAGCAGGATAGGCAACAGAGAGGAAAGATGCTTCAATTTTAGAATGGCATTAATTGCTCTGATTACCATTATAAGAGAACATTGGGGATATTCTGAGAAAAGAGATACATGGAAAAATCCCATTTTGTCAAACATTTTAATGTTTCCTATACTAAGAAGATTTCTGAATTCTAACATGACTGGGTTGCAAGGAGAATTGTAAAGCAGCCTCGTTCATCTCTTGGGCCTGCCCTGCCCGCTCACCGCCATCCATCACCTTCATGAACACAAGTAGACCCTTCCCAGGCACTGCCCACACCATCACTATTACACACTCTGCTCTCACTAGTTTCTCTTCTTTCTATGAAATTATTTAAACAAACAAAATCTTGTGTTATTTATAATTCTAATAAACATCAGTACTTTGTAAATTTGAGGCATTAATTATAAGTGATAGAAAAATAAGRTAGTCTTTGTCCCCAAGAACTTTCTAGTTGACAGCGTGAGCTAATTCAAGTATGCAAACTTTATATCTTATGGGAGAAAGGGTACCCTGTCCCCAGGTAAGGCTTGGGTATTGTCAGAGTTGATAGAAAGGTGAGGAATCTCCATTCAATTAAAGAGCATGGAAATCCTGACTTGGAGTACTTGACTTGGGATTATGTGAGGCAACTCACCTCGACTATGTACACACTTCACCCWCCGTTAGTGGAGAGGAGTATGTGGGAGCAGGGACCAAACAGCACTCCATTGTTGGCATCCAGCATGGGCCGCGTGTGTGGATAATAATATGTTAAAGATGAGACTAATTCTCAGGTTTGCAGATGGCTATGTAAAGAAATCTTAGATTTTTAGTGGCTTAAACTTCCTGGAAGCTGGTGTTAGGCACCAAGAATTAGACTCTGAAATCTCTGGCCTGTGACCCCCTGTTCTCGCCTTGTTTCCTGAGTTCCAGGACTCATTCTTCTAAGCATTCACCAACCTCATTCCTGCCTCTTGCTCCTGCTGCTTTCTCAGTCCAGTAAATTCAACCCAGATCAGCACAAAGTTCCTTCCCTGCTTCAGGTCTGAGATGCCCCTTGCCCACTGTTTCTGAAAATCACCTCCTTCTTCCCAAACACACCATCGCTGTCAACTCCCTGGCCCTGCACGATTATTTTATGGCAAATTACATCATGATTACGTATTTATGGGTTTATCATCTGTCAATATGTGCCTCTGAATTCTTTTTCCTTTGTGGGTTTGTTATCTGTCCCTCCCTCTTTACATATAACCTCCATGTAAAAAGGATTTATTTTTATTCCTCTCCACATTTCCAAGGTCTGGAACATAGCACTAAATAGCAGGGAGTCAAGAGAGCAGATATGTAGCAATCACAGCAAGTGAAATTCAAACACATGGAGCCAGCCTGCTTTTCCAGGCTGCAAACATCTTGGAGAGGAATCTGCTTGTTTGTTTTGTTTTGCTTTGATTAATGTATATATTGAGCAATGATCAAAGCAGGGTAATTAACATATCATATCCATCATCTTAAACTTTCATCATTTCTCTATGACGAATATATTCAAAATCCTCTCTTGTAACTTTATGATGAATTATGTTTCAAATTGTCTCTTGTAATATACATATATAATTTATATGTACATATATAATACATTGTTGTTAGCTATAAGGAATCCACTTTTGAACATTTTTAATTTATCCTATACAAAGTTGATAACTTAAAACTAAGGCAACAACCACTTCTAGAAGGCTTCTCAGAAGCTTCTCAGAGGTTCAGTCAAACCTAGGGGTTGTCCTCTCCCCTGGCTTGAAGGTCAAGGACAGTAAATGATTCAACCCAGGAGGGCAGAGTCACAGAGCAGAATTAAGATTCGAAGGAAAGAATATTCAACTAAGATTTAAATTTTCTGCCTTGAGTTCAGAAAGTCCAGCTCTAGCAACTTTGCAGAGCCACAATCTTAACAAGTTGTGAAATAAGGAAGGCATGCGGGATCTATAGCTTTTATATCACACAAAAGGAGGTATTCATGTAAGTGTTTCTACAGGAAGACACTACAGCAGAAATAATCAACTATGATTCAATAAATGTTAAATAAATGTTAAAATCTAGATGCAAAGATACCTACTGAATGCTGCTAAGATACAGATTTGGATAAGATAGGATTACTAACTTCAAAGACTTTGTAACTAGTTGAGGAGAAAATGACACAAGAAATTATTGTAATAGAAAATAGACATTTTAATTAATGATAAAATCAAGTTTTTTAGGTTCTCTTATAGCATAGAGAGGTCATAATTTATTTCAGATAGCAAGACAAGGCAATGATTTTGTAAAAGATTATCATGACCAAGTTCTAAATAGAGTGGGAGGTCTTCAAGGGACCATACTGTAGGCTGGGAGTATGGATAAGCTAGGGGACAGCATGTAGCAAGGCTCAGTGGTAGACCAGGTAATGGAAGTTGAAGTGATGTTGAGATAGTCATTTTAGATGGAGCAAATGACTTTTGAGCAGAAAGAAGAAAAAAAAAAGATGGCAGCTCAGGTCGGATGGTGCAAGGCCACCTTGGCAGGAACACCTACCACTCTAACAGCAGATACAAAAACCACGCATGTAGTTGGGATGAGGTGACTTTCACCGAGTATTCTATGTGGCTTTCTTTATTAAAGGTATACACCCTAAAGTAAATGGCATAGATTAGTCCTTCACGTGGATTTCAAGAAAAAATTTGTATCGTTCTTATAACCATTCGCCTAAAGCCATTGATTATTGAGAAAGTCCTTAAGACCACAGAATTTCATTGTTAGGAAAGCTATGATTTCAGTGGTTCCCTATTTCAGTTTCAACAGGAAATCCTGCCTTCTTGAATGTTTAGCTTACTTTGATCCTTTGAATCTCACTTGTCCTGAATATCAAGAAGATTCTAGTCATCCTATATGCTAACACGGTTGACCCTAACACTTATATTATGACCTCCAAGACCCAACAACCTGGCTCCTTTACTGACAGTGTAGACACTTGGAAAATATCACTTGTAAAGACATATGAAAAGGAATACATAATTGGACAAACTTCAATGCTGAAAGTCTAATTCTTCAATGCTGAAAGTCTAATTTCCAAGTTTTACAGTGTAAGTATATAAACCAGGGTTCCTAATCATTAGATATAAACCTGTGGGAGGATGCCAGTCTCCATAGCCAGACTTACATTTGGGATAATCAATTCCTGCTGGTCACTAAGCCAACCTGCTACCACACACACACACTACACATAAAGATTCCACTTTGAGCACCTTTACTACATACATCTCATGTTATAATGTCAAGGTCTCCAATAATTTGAAGACAATTCTTCAATATCAACCTGCTGAGGAACTGTAATAGAACTATTGTAAGTAATACGTGAAAATTCTTTCACAAAGATCAAGCACTGAAGTCTGGATAAGAATAAGATGGGGGAAAAGCAGTATAATGGAAAGAACTTCAAAGCAGGACAAATTTGAATTGAAATCCCAAATCTAATACTTATTTGCACCATGACATTGGGATATTATCTTTCTGAATCTCTATTTCTTCATTGCTAAAATGGAGATAGTGGCACTTGCCTCCCAAAGCTGTAAGGGTGACATTAGGTAACATACAGAAATGGACTTTAGCATCTGGCTCAATCAATCACAATTCCATGTTAGCTGATTAAAATAACATTAGTGCTAAAACAGGAGCAAAAACATACTGAAAGTAAACTTTGTCTTTTATTCTACATAAGAAACACTGACAAGATAGCTCCAAACTGAAATGTTTAATAACTGGTTTTTTWAAAATATTATTCAGAAAACAAATTTACTTTGCAGTTGAACAGTAATGAGAAATTAAATACAATCTCCTTTCATTCCTAGTTGCTTAGCATAGTCCACCAGACACTCAGTCAGAAACATTAGAGACAAACATACCAACAAGAGTTGTTAAATTTGGGAAAGCTAAAAAATTGAATATATTATGATGATAGTGCCTTTATAAAAAGTAATTTGGTTTAGGTTCTAATTTTCACTTCAAGTCTTCCTAGTCATATGTCTTCTGAGAATTCACAATTCTTTTTCACTTACAAAGTATGAATATTCAAGTATACAGCATTCTCTATAAAAGAGATGAGGCTTCAATGTTTATAGCAGCCCAATTCACAATAGTGAAACTATGGAACCAACCTAGGTGTTCTTCAACAGATGAATGAATAAAGAAATTGTGAGACAGATATACAATATAATATTACTCAGCCTTAAAAAAGAATGAAATTATGGCATTTGCCAGTAAATGGATGGAGCTGGAGAATATCATGCTAAGTGAAATAAGCCAATCCCAAAGAACCAAAGGTTGAATGTTTTCTCTGAAATGTAGATGCTAATTCATAATAAGGGTGGGGCTAGGGAAGAATAGAGGTAGTTTGTATTAGACAGAGGGGAGTGAAGGGAGGGGAGGCAGTATGGGGGCAGGAATGACAGTAGAATGAATCAGATATTATTACCCTTTGTGCATACATTATTACATTACCTGTGCAACTCTATATCATGTACAACCAGAAGAATGAGAAGGTATACTCCATCTCTGTATGATGAGTCAAAATGCATTCTAGTGTCATGTATAACTAGAATTTAAGAGAGAGAGAGAGAGAGAGAGAGAGAGAGATGAGAGAGATGAGGCTCTCTTCTTACAGCTGTGCTTTGAAGAGCTCCAGGGGAGCCATTCACCTCCTAGTCTTTATACATGTGCATACTTTTATGGTAGTTTCCAGAAGAAGGCTATAGGCACCAGCACATGGAAGAAGATGCTAATGTATGTGCTGATGATGGAGTTGGTGTAGGTCTGAGAAAACACAGGTAAAGTGTGAATGATGACCTGACATCTCAGTATTGATCTTGTGCCATGAAAACTTCTAGGCTCTTATGGCACCAGGGAGATGTCTGAAGGACAACTGGTCATCCCAGCTCCAGCATGAATTCCCCCGTTAGCTTGGCTGAGTTCACATCTTGGAGTCCCTGTTCCCTAAAGTGTGAAATAAGGGAATTGAGGGCATATGATCATGTGGGCAATTTCTATCACAAAAGTTATGGACATTGTGCACTCTTTTATGCCCCAGGAAACCTTTAAAAACTAGATACTGTTAAAAAATCTATATATAKAGAGAGAGAAAGGTWGTAATAAAGTACCAAAAACTTAGCGTCAATCAGTAAACTTGGATGATATGGGACAATGGATAAATTTCTTTAAATTCTTTCTTTAGATTATTAATAATTACTTTTAAAATGGAAAAATCATACTCTTAGTAACTACTGATAAGATACTAAGGGAAAAAACTCAAAGAGATGTTATCCATTCATTTGTTGATGGGTACCTGAGCTGGATCCTAACTTGGCTATTATGAATTGTGCTGCTATAAACGTTCATATAACTGTATGCTGATTTTAGTTCTTTAGGATAAATACTAAGGAGTGGAATAGGTGGGTCATATGGTGGTTCCATTCCTAGTTTTCTGAGGAATTTCCATACTGCATTCCAGAAATGTGTACTAATTTCCAGTTCCATCAACAATGTATGAGTGTATATTTCCCCCTCATCCTTACCAGCATTTATTATTRKTAGTATTCTTGATGATTGCCATTCCAACTGGAATAAGATGAAATTTCAATGTAGTTCTGATTTGCATTCCCCTGACTGCTAGGGATACTAAACATTTTTATCATGTATTTGTTGTCCATTTATATTTCTTTTTTAGAAATGTCTGTTTGATTCTTTTGCCCATTTATTGATGACAAATATTTCTTAAAGGCTGAGAATTTCCTGTTTCCTGTCAAAACAGTTCTACTCCAAGTGCTTCATAAGCTGTATGTTGTGAGAACATTTGCATTTTAAAATTCAAAAGAYGTTGCCTTATGACATCTGATGTACTACACATTAATCTCAGTCTTGATAAGTAAATGCAAATTTGATTTCCTTCCAAACTAACATTTGGAAATTTATATTATTTCTCCTTTGGAACATGGGTCATTTAGAATATAAATGACTACACTGAAGACAGACTTACCTGGTTGAAACATATTTTCAGCATTTTGTTCGTCTGCTCTGGGCATTGATCCAGCTGTTTTCATAAGTGATAAGAGAACAAGATATTAACTTTGGATAATGCAGTGCCTCCAACAGAGTTATATCATGCAAGTATCTAGTATAAACAAACCTAGAACCAGCCAACAGTGGTACTATTGGTCTTTTAAGCTTGGATCCAAATAAATTAATTAACTAAATTTAATACCTCACTTCATTGCAAACAAAACTAAAAAATGGGTTAAAGCGGTTTACATAAATAAATACAGCATGGTTAAAAAACGTGTGATAAAAAAATAAGCTTGAAAGAAAATTAAATGATAAAATTGTAAATATTGAAAAAGAGCTGTCTAAAGGCAACTGGAGTCTGGATTTCTTGAAAGAGAAAGTTAGAGAAATAGCCTGGGAGTCACTGGTTAGTGTAAGAGTCATCCAGAAATGGCATTTAATAGAAGAAAGCAGTTCAGGAGCACACCCTCAGTCATGATGACATTCAGAATCCAAGCAGAGAAGGAATCACCATAAAGAGGGAGGTAGTCGAAGAAAGTGAGAAGTGTGCAGTGGGGGGAAGCCATGCAGAGAGAGTGCTCCAGGAAGGGGAAAGGGGATGGTTGGGTCGAGAGCCTGGGGAAGTCAGGACAGAGAAGTGACTAAGCATTTGTCAGCCAAGAGCTCATGGGGGCACTGATGAGGAAGGTCCCAGTTAGGTAACGGAGCTGGATGTTCCACGGAGAGTACAGGGTAAAAGGAGAAGGTAAACAAAGTAGACTGTACAATGGAAAACAAGGATTTTCACCCAGGTTCAGTTGGGGCATGTGGCACTTTTGTCTAATTAATAATCTGTGCTCTTTTCACTGAGAGCCTTTCCTTCCATATCTGTCAATCCCACAAGAGATGCTGAGCATGGTGTGRAGAAGGGGCCTCCTGTGCTCCTGGGCTGCGCTGGCTGTCTCCTCCACCCTGAAGCTGCCCAGCTGGCCTGCACTCCTCAGTAGCCCCTCAGCCCTACTGGGTGGGAGGAATGTGTAGTACTGCTAGATGTTACTGATGGGGACATGACAACGAGGCTCATCCTTTGCATTTCAGGTGGTTGACCAAAGTTCCTTCCACTCATACACAAGGAGGCTTGGAAAATACAATCATCTTCATCACCTCTTGCGATGTTTTATTGATTCTAATCAGACTAGTGGTCTTGGCACCTGATATGGTGACCTACCCAACCCTCGGCTCAGCCCCTCCTAACCAGCCACCGAGGAATTGCATCTATGGAATAGAAACCATTTTGGGTCAGGGAGAGGGGAGTCAGGCACCATGTCCCATTTCTTTTGATCCCTGTGACTGTTCTCCATCTGTAAGATCTTCTCTACCTGGCTCTACGCCTGTGATTTCATAGACACTGTTGATTCTGATACAAAGTCGGTATAAAGATCCCATCTTCACTCCCTTAAGCCATTCTAGGTTCTCTCACTGGTACCATTTTACATTTTTCTTCACTGAGGACTAAATCCAAGTTATTCTGTCATCCTTCAGAGTTCTAAAAAGACCGCTTACCTCAGAACTTGCTCTCAGTTCTTCTGCAGATGTGCGGTCAAATACTGATGGTAGCTGATACTCAGGAAAAAAATACCGAAGGACCTCCCTAGGAATGCAAGCAGAGCAGAAATAGGAATATACCAGGACAAGAGATGCAGCATGCACCTGTCAGAATTGGTTTTGTCCTCTGGGTATTAAATATCTGGCAAAGATCAACATTAACTCCTCCCAAATATTTTGTTACCATTGGCATTAAAGTGCTCTTCAAGAAGCACAGGCTGGGGGAAAGGACATGAATGTAGCTATAAAAGGGCAATAGAAGGGACCCTTGCAGTGATGGAAATGTTCTGTGTCTTCACTGTGTCAACATCCACATTCTGATTAGTTTTGCAAGAGGTTGCAACTGGGAGAAACTGAGTGAAGGGTACAATCTGATTTCTGCATCATTTCTTAAAACAACAGCAGGCAAAYCTACATTCTTTAAAAAAAATTTTAAAAATATTGAAGGAAAGGCAAAGAAAGAAAAAGGAAAAGAAAATGGKAACAGGAAGGGAAAAAATAGCTCACAATGCCTAGCAATTTGTCACGAACCAGTCCAAGGAAGCCGGGCACCTGCCTGAGTGTTCTTTTCTGCAGAGAACTCAGCATCGTAAACTTACTGGAGGAAAATAAGCAGCTCCTCGATTATTGACTTTTTCTCCAAGGAAGTCAAAGAGCTTAATTCTGCAGAGCAATTATCTTCATTAGGGTATCTGAGACTACTCTTAGAAATCATATCTGGTCTGCTCTTTCAAAACAGTGGTGGCCATTGCTCCGACAGGTGCTTTACTTTACCAAAAGGCAGTGGCATCCGCCCTACTAATGTGACAGCTTTTCTGTGATAAATCACTTAGATGACACATATTTCATTTCTGGGAGAATATGAAATATAGAAATTCATAAACATCACATCTTAAAAGTGTATAGTGTTTTGATGTTGATGAGCTCCAAGATGCTCATGCATATTTTCTAAAGGATTGACAAAATCTTTTCCATTGGAAAATAATATGGTATACCAGACATAAAACAGTTCTTTCTTATAATGCATTCCTAGTATTTTAAGTATTTTATCTGCATTTATAGTTTCAAGGAGATTTAAGCCAGAAAGTTTCAGCATTGCCCAAATATTAAATGTAATACACACAGCCCCCAGACTGACTTGCCTGGCTAGAAGATGGATGGGGTGGGGATAGGATGAAAATGAGCTTCCAGGGATCTAAGATGAGAAGAAATCCGATGGCATAGAAAGAACGCTGCAACTGGAGTCCCTGGGAAAGGGAACCTGTCGGCCTTGTGACTGGTTTGGTGGGAGAGGAGGGGTGAGAAGTCTTCCATACGAAACATTCCCACTTCCATCCAGATCTRCCATGTTTCCCCACCACAGGGTGGAAACCACTTCTAAACGTGGGCCCTTTGCAATAGTAAGCATACATTTTTTTGCTATTTAAATTTAGAGCAAATTCAGCAGTCATCTAAGAAATACTCTTAGATAAACAAATATATGGTGCTGGTATTTGCAGGGAAATGGAAGGGGGTGAAGGCGTAGGTTAGGGAGAGAAAACCCTCTAGTTTCATTTTGGATAATTCTCATCTGTGGTGTCTCTACTTCAAAATGTCCCCTAAACATCWTCTATAGCCTGAAGAATGTGTCTCACACATGTACTATTATTTCCACAAATCGATAGATGATAGACAGATGCAATTTAACAATTGAACACTACTTCATGTGAAGGTTTTACTGAAATCACTGCAGCTTTTGTGATTTTGTATTTTCTCAAACTCATTAATTTCACAGATAATTTGTCTTCAAACTACTAAAACAGCATTTGCTCTGTGGAGCCTCACAGAGCCCGCATCATGCCTTCCATGTTAGGAYCCCAATACTGTTTTCTGCACTGATTCAACATAATGCGGAATGCCAGGAAGTGGGCCACTCCACAACCATGTGGGCAGCGCTCCAGGAGGAAGAGCATGTAGCACTACAGCCCCGAGGAGAGGCCCCGACTCCTACTGGGAGCCCTAACTCATGTATTTGGGAGCCCTGGCTTATATTTGAAAGCACCCACTCATATTTGGGAGCCCCAAAGAAAGAGTTGGAGTGAGACAAACATGGGGGTGGGGATGTGAAGAAGTATTCTTCATCTGCACCCAACATTGGGAAATTGGGTATCTTCTTTTGGTAAAAGATCTGAGACACTTGGGTCAGATCTAACTACCTTTACAGAGTTCCAGAAATATGCCAACCACTGCTGTCTTGTGTACATAATTTCATGTCATCTTTATGAAAACACTTTGAGGAGAGATTCCTATTTGGAAGCTCTCTTGCTTTCTGGCTGTGAAGGACACACTCCTTCAGGCCAACACAGATTCCCTATACCATTCTCACTCTCTCTCTCTCTCTCTCTCTCTCTCTCTCTCTCTCTCTCTCTCTCTCTCTCTCCCTCCCTCCCTCCCTCCCTCCCTCCCTCCCTCTCAGGATTTCAACTTTACTTTCTTCTAAATAGAGTTGCTGCTAAGTAGCTTCTCCCTTGGGAATTTTGTCCCACAAGTCTGACTAAAGAAAAAGATAACCCAGCCAGTAACTTGCAATTTCTAAGCACAAACATATAGGCCCTCTCCTTTTCCTGCCAAATTAATTCAGGAAAAATATTAATATTAATAATAAGTGTAAAGATATCAAAAATCGTACATGGAAGATACTAAAAAAATCACCAAACATCTCATTGTAGATGTTGAACGGTTCTTTAAAAACTCCTTCAGTTACTGGCTTGAGTCTTCTGTGGAATCCGCCAGAGATGTTCTCTTTTGTTCTGAAGGGGACATCTTATCAAACCTCTTCTGCCCTCAAATTTCAGCCTTTCTTTAGRACACATGATCCTATCATACATATAAGGACCCTTCAAGGAGATGGGCCAGGAGACATGCAGTGTAAAATTATAGGAATAAAACAAGTGTCCATTCATTCCTTTGCYGAATTAAGAAGACACTGTCCATTTTAAGGGACTCCTGAATCAAATGCTGCTGTTCAACAGGACTATTGTCCTGCCTAGGAACAGCCCTTCCTCTGAAGCACTGATTCACAGTTTTACACCCAGACAATAATACCAGGAATTTATCTTTAACATTTTTTCTCTCCTTAAGAACTCAAGAATTAAATCTTCCAAAGAACTCTTCCAGAGCTACTACCTGCTTCCAGGACTTGGCGATGGTGCCCATCTCAGTTGGATTTCTGTAGAATCTCTATCTAGAAGCTGTCACAGGATTCAATGAGGGAGCCGACACTCAGAGCTATCTCTAGATATGATGGACAAGCTTTGAATGTTCCTGCTAAAGGTCATTTCCCTTTCATTCCATAATCATACTACTGTCTCAACCAAATGAGTGTTTTCTTAGTGAAAATGGCAAGAAAAATCTCTGACTTAATTAACAGAATTCCTCTTCTAGACACAGCAGACGTGGGCAGGGCCATGTAGAGGTACCTGAATCCACCCAATCTTTTAAAACATTAATCTGGTTAATCAGCTTAGTGCTGGCTAAGAAGAGCAAGTCTCCTACTTGAGGTTAATTAAAACTCTCTTTGTCAGCCCAGTGAAAGACCAGGGTGCAATGGAAATTACACRATYCCACTTTCTAAAACYGGGAATCCAGCCATGGTTTCTAACAGACCTGGCTGCTAGTTGTATTTTTGTGGTCTTTTCTTTTACTTTAGCAACAGGCATCAACCTTAAAAAGTGGCTTTCTTTTTAAATTGAATTTTTGTTATTTTTAAAATTAAAGATAACACAGAGCATGTTTTTATAGAGTTGAAATAAATCAAGAATATATTTTCAAGTTCATAAATACAATAATAAGCCAAACAAGGTATTAGAATTTAGCAATTAAAGCAAGGACTGTTAGGCCAGACAGACAGATTCAAATCCCAGGTGTGCTACTTTAGTATTATGCAAATTATTTAACCTGTACATGCCTCAGTTTTCTCATCCATTAATTAGAATAATAAAAGTACGTAGTTATAGATCACCGTAAAGTTTAAGAGAGTTAACACATGCAAAGCCCTTCAGATAGTGCCTGGTATATACCAAGTATGTACAAATCTATTAATACTATTACTATTATTACTGTTCAAAGTGATTTGAAATTTGATACTACTCCAATGTTTAGGACCTGCCTGGAAAATTTAATAGTCTGTATCCCAGGTCAGCTTATTTCCCTCTAACTTAACAAGACTTAGTCTGACCCCATTATATGAAAATATTCTAACATCCAGCAACACTATCCACTTTTGATATTTTCCTTTCTATTTAATTTATTCTTTGAATACATGCAAATAAATGTTAGACATAATATGAAAAAGCCAATCTATTTTCAAAGAATTTATTCTATTTGGGAATTAAAGTAATACATATAGAACAAAAAATAACATAAGAAAAACTTTTAAACTGAGCATAATCAGGTAATGAAAAAGACAATAAAGCTACCTTCTAAATGAATTTATTCAGCTAGCATCATGAAATGGAGGAGGGTGAGACCTACTGGGGCTGGGTGGGAAGAGAGGCTGGCAGCAGGTCTGGGAGAGTCAGGAGTCTTCACAAAGGAAGGTCAGGCACTGCTCTCTGCCGTGTGACAATCAAGGTGAAGATGGTAAGCAATTCTGGGTAGGGACAGCACTGTCCCCTTCATATCACACACTACCAGCCACAATTTTTTCCTCTTGAGATAAAGTCTAGTTGACTCAAGATATAACATGTGGACCACATACAAAATAGAGGAGTGAAAAAAATAAAACAAGCACTTAGCAAAGAAAACAAGAACTCTGTTTTCTTTGTAAATGCTCCTAAAGGAAGAAAACAGGTGAAATGAGGAGAGTGTTCTGCTCCAGAGAGGACCTGTGTTCTGCACACCTTTACTTTCCCCACTGAATGGTTTGAATATATCAATCACCAGAGAAAATTTAAGTTGGCACAGAATAGAGTTGACATACTAATACATTTGGCTTTCAGAATGTTGGGGTGATGGTAGTGGTGGGGTGATGGTAGTGTGACAATTCTAAGCAATAAGGAGGTGCCT